CGCGGCCCGGGTTGGCGGGGGCGAGGCGGGGTCCGGGCCGCGGGCGCCCAGCTCCCCGCTCATTCCTCGTGTCCCGCGCCCGCCGCCACCCGCGCTGGCCCGGCGCGCGCTCACGCAGGGCCGGGCGGAAGCGGCCTGGGCGTGTCCGCGCCTTTGTCCCCGCCCCCCCGGGCGCCCTCCCCGACCCTGCCCGCCGGGCTGGGGGCGTCGCTGTAGCCGCCGCGCTCCGCCCCCGCCGCGACCCCGCCCGGGAGCCGCCAGGCCGGCGCCCGCTGGGGACGCGCGGCGTTGGGGAGGTGCCCGCGCCCCCTCCGCGCCCCGCTGCGCCCCGGGGTGGGGTCCAGGCAGACATTTCCCAGGGGACGCGCGGACCTGCCACCCGGGTCGGTGCGCCCCAGCCCGGAAGATTGGGGGACGGGGAGGGCGTGGCTCAGAGCAAAGTAAAGTGAAAACAGAAAACTGAAAACGGAGTGTAAGGCGAGTGGAAGCTTGTGTAAACCGAGCGGGGTGCGCACGAATCCCGGCGAGGGGTGCCAGGGCTGGCGAATAAAAATGTTGGACGAGGGCAGCTTCCTGGTTTTCCTGTTGGACTGGAGTGGTTCAAGAATTCGCCTCTGCAAGAGGCAGGGGTGGGCGTGAGGGGATCTCTCTGCACGTTTCTCCGCAGCTTCCTGTGAGTCTGTGATTATTTCAAAATAAATATGTTTTTTAATAGGGAGACACAGATTTGAGAGCTGGAGCAACTGAATGCGGTGCAGGAAACTCGACCGGCCACTGGTTTTAAATACACCGGCCACTGCTAGGGAAAGAAATGCAGTGTGTCCACAGGGAATTGAAGTTCCGATACACGAAGACTTTTTTTTCTGGTTTAAGTATGTCTCGGGCAATATTTGCACATACTACTTATCCTTAAAAAAAACGCCATTCGTGTGTACTTGAAGTGCAAACAGAACTGGACGTCTGGACACTCCATTGCCAGCGGATACGGTGAAAATGCAGACGGTTCTGCAGCCGGCCTGGCACCGCCTAGATGCTGCGCTCATGTCCAGCTTGCAGAGCGTCCACGGACCAAACTTGGAGCAGCTTGGGGAGAAAGCGCTTACCGCCTTGTTTTGAGGGATCTCGGCGATTTTGCCGCTGGAGGGAGCTTCCTGTTCTTCAGTCCCCAGGGGCGAGGGGCTCTTTCAGAAAGGCAAGGCCGCACGTCCAGGTCGGAAGGGATGCATTTTAAGGGGACCAGGCCGTGCCATCCTCCTGCAGCCCACTAGGAGGGGGCGACAGGAAGTCTGAACCCGGCTCTGGGGGTGGCTTTCTGGCTCCAGGCTGCCAGCCGCGCCCCACCCCCCAGCTGCATTTTGTGGGTGGCATTTCCCCAAGGCTTGACTCCCTCTCTCTGCTCTCTGCCAAATTGTGAGCTGGAATGCGGAAAAGTGAACGCCACCAGCGGGCCCCCAATCTCCTGAGCCCGGCTTAGGACAAAGACACATGGGAGCGCTTAGGCCACCAGGCCCTGCGGGGCCCTGCCTGGCAGAGGGATTCGGGGCCACAGGCATCTCCCGGCAGAGCGCAGGCACCCCTTGCCTCGATCTGACCTTGGAAATGCGACGTTGCAGGCTAATAATAAAGGCCTTTCATGGAGGCTCAGGGTTCACAAGGCAATTAATCGAGAGGTCTGGGTGCAACTGCATTGCACCCGGGAAGGGGAACGTGACAGAGAAATTTGCAGTCTTCCACTTCGCTTGGGTGGCTGGGTTGGTCCTGTTCCACCTCTCCCACCCTAAATCTGACCACATCCCTACCTCTTCGCATAAATATCCCCAGCACGTTTCACAACACCTTGCTTTGCAAAGCGGCTTTCATCTGGAAGGATATAAAAATCCTTCAGAAAGCACAGCATTAAAGGGCCATTACCGTCCTTATGATGCCATATTATTTGGTGGTGGAGTGAGGAAATACCGAAATACCGAACTCCGTCATACAGAAGGAATGAGGCCCTGCGCCTAGCCAGAGTGAACGATAAATTCAACATGGTAATAGGTGCAGTTGTTGTTAGATAAGAGAGAAATCCCAATTAGACCACTGTAAAGGCAATTGAACGCTTCTTTTAGTATATATAGTGTATATGTGCGCGTATTTGTGTACATATATGCCTGTTGCCACTTACCCACCTGAACAGATATTTGGAAATAGGCACGGTGTTGTTAATTGGCCAAGCATGTTAAATGACCACGCATGAATGTCCTCCAAACAATATAGTGATAGGAACTGTCCCATCTGGACCCAGCCAGGGAGGGAAACTGGTTATCACTGCCTAAGGATGTGCACAGTTAACGATTTGGGCTTGGACGGCAGGCGGGGATTGAGATAGATGTTTAGTTACAGTGAGACAGTTTCAGGCTTCGGTAGTCAGATCGTGCCGTAATTAAGGTGATGACTTTGATAGAGTGTCTGCCCTGTCCTGGGAATGGAATCCGTCACTCCCCATACTCAGTGTATCTGCTGATAGGGTCAGGCCCGTGGTGACTAATGTAGGATGATGAAATTTATTTTATAATTATAAGTATAAGCACAGTTATCAGAGCCTGGCTCCGACCAGAGCCCAGCTGAGTCATCGTCCTTCACAGACAGCCTTTAACAGACACCCTGTGTGCCATATTTCAGAGCCTGATTCTCTGGAGACGAAACATCCACTGGGACATCTTTTTAAAACAGCTCCAACGTGACTTGGCGGAGAAGAGTCCTCCTGACCCTACATATGTGTTCAAGCCGGACATCATCTCTAGGGTGAAGCTGATTTAGAAACAGCCTCTCTTGTGAGTGAAATAAAGTTCCCCTGGGACACATGACAACCAGTCCCCAAGTTAGGGAGGTCTCGAATTCTAGATGGGCTTAAAGGGACTAATTCATCCTTAGTGAATTTGCCCCTGGGTGGTCAAATACCTGGGTAACACATCATTGTGTTAAAATCAAAGTAAAATTAAACAAAAACTTAAGCCCCTCTCTCTGCAAATTGAAGTTTTAAAAATCTGCACACATACAAGGATACAAGCAAGGCAATTTATTCATGTGTCCAGAACTGACTTCCAAAAATAATGTTTCTAAACGTGTCTATTTATTTACAGGCTTTTCTTGAGTGATTGCAAAGGAAACCCGATAGGAGAGCGGGAGGATATTATCGTTGTCTTTGCTGGTAAACATTCATTAGAAAATTAGCGGGTGCTGAGTTCATCCTCACCGGAGAGATACTCGAGAGTTCTTATTTCTGGCATCCTGGCAAGGTTTGTAGAAAATCTAAGGTGCCTGTTGAAGGAATGTATGTGAATAACTCTTCCCAAATGGTAAACAAATGCGCTGGAAAGAACAATCCTTCTTCCAAAAGGGGAGTTAATGTTATGTCCCCATGTGGTTGTTGTGTAATTGGATTTCCGGATTTGAACCTCAATGGTAACATTTTACGCGAAGACTAGTAGTAATGATTAATGAGCGTGGGAGTAAGTTAAAAAGTAAAATGACTTAAAAATAAGTTAATCGCAGACACTTCACCATTCTGTCCTTTAGTGCGTGTTAATGAGCTTTCCTTTAATTAGATCTTCACAATCTCAACACTGCGATCGCAAAGAAGTGGGCAGACACCCTTAACCAAGTAGCTACATCCTAGAATATACAAATCTAACTTTATCACTTGGAACGCATCTGGATTAGGTGGTTTCTGCTCTTCTTTTTTTTTTCCGGTGTGCTTTGAACTGGTCCCAGGAGGCCGTAAGTAACTCAAAGTGCAACATAGCAACATGAGATAAATTATAACACATTAAGTCACATTATGTCTCCAGACAGAATAAATAACAAACGAGTATCAACAGTTCTCTATTTTGGGGGGAAAAAA